ATCTGATATAATCTTTTTCTTTCCCCCAATAGCCAAAATTGTATTCCTAGCACTATTGCGCCCTATAGTACCCTCCTCGCTTGCACGACTACCTTTCCCCCTGCAGCACAGAACCCTTTTGTCACTTTGCTGAATTCAGCACTGATGTCCCTCGGTGCTGGGACATGGCTCCGCCTTGACTCCTTTGCTAGCGCTGCGAGCGCATTAGTGCAGGCCCATAGGAAGCATTGTATAATGCTTTCCTGTGTGGTTTTGGGTGACGCTGGATGTCCTCATGCATGAGAACATCCAGCTTCAGTTATGCGACCAAAAGTCGCCTAACGACCTGGAAGTTCCTCTAGTTGCTGTTTGATAGACAGCCACTAGAGATGCAGTTAACCCTGGATAGAAATTACTGCAGTTTCTTAGTAATTGCAATAATTGCTATTGCAGGGTTTAACTGACAGGGGCACTGAACCCAGACCACTTCATTTAGCTGAAGTGGTCTGGGTGCCTATATCGTCTCTTTAAGCAAGGGAATTTACTAAAATATACAATATATATATATATATATATATTAACGGTAGGGAATTCCAAGGGTGACATCTTCTTTAAAATGTTTAGTCAATTAACAGCTGACCTGAGATACTCATGTGTTGGCTAGTTAAAAAGTTGTAAAGCTGCAAACTGCAGAACTGGGGCTTTGACTCATCTGAATTTAATCTATTTTAACCCTTTCCTGGTGCTATGCTGTCCTACAAATGTTGTGCTTTAATGCTGAATATATATATATATATATATATATATATATATACACACACAATACACAATATATTCTTATCAGCCTCAACATAAAAACCACTGGCAGGTGAAGTGAATAACATTGACTGCATCATTTCAGTGACACCAGTCAATGGGTAGGATATATTAGGCAGCAAGTGAACTGTCAGTTCTACAATTTTATGTGTTTGAAGCAGGACAAAAGGGCAAGCAAAAAGATCTGAGTGACTTTGACAAGGGCCAAATAGTGATGGCTAGACGACTGGGTCAGAGCAGCTCCAAAATGGCAAGTGTTGTGGGGTGTTCCCAGTATGCAGTGGTTAATACCTACTAAAAGTGGTGCAAGGAATTGCAACTGGTGAACCAGCATCAGGGTCATGATCATCCAAGGCTCATTGATGCACATGGGGAGCAAAGGCTAGCCCGTCTGGTCTGATCTCACAGTAGAGATACTGTAGCTCAAATTTCAGAAAAAAGAATGCTGGTCATTATAGAAAGGTCTCAGAACACACAGTGCATCGCAGTTTGCTGCATATTGGGCTGCATAGCCACAGACCGGTCAGAGTACCCATGATGACTCCTGTCCACCGCCGAAATTGCCTTCAATGGGGACATGAACATCAGAAGTGGACGAACTGGTCTATGAAGCAATGGTTGCCTGGTCTGATAAATCACATTTTCTTGTAGATCAGGTGGCTGGCAGGGTGCGTGTGTGTCGGTTACATGGGGAAGAGATGGCAGCAGGATGCACCATGGCAAGGAGGCAGGTTTGCAGAAGCAGTGTTTAGTTCTGGACAAAGTTCTGCTGGGCAACCTTCGGTGCTGGCATTCATGTTGACAAATATCGCCTACCCAGAGATTGTTTTTGCCTATGTACACCCCTTCATTGCAAGTGTGTTCCCTGATGGCAGCGGCCTCTTCCAGCAGCATAATGCACCATGGCACACTGGAAAAATTGTTCAGGAAGGGTTTGAGGAACATGACAAAAAGTTATAGGTGTTGCCTTGGCCTCCACATTCCCCAGATCTCAATCCAATTGAAAATCTGTGAGATGTGCTGGAAATACAAATAAAATCCATCTCAAAACTTGCAGGACTTACATTTAGTTGCTAATGTCTTGGTGCCAGATACCACATGCCTCGACACATCATAGCTGTTTTGGAGCACAGAAAAATATCATCTCAACCTATTAGTCAAGTAGCTATTTGTGATTTTCTGCTCTTGCCAACATGGAAGTGACCACCAAATTGATCACTCCTTCTTAAAGGACCACTAAAATAACCCAGACCACTTCATCTCAATGAAGTGGTCTGAGTGCAGTGGTCCTATTATTATTATTTTATTTTAACCCTGCAATTTTGTAGAAACTGTAATGTTTACATTGCAGGGTTAAACACACTAAACACACCTCTTGTGGCTGTCTTGCTCTGAATTAAATGCTTCCCTATGATAAGCATTTTGATACACATGTATAACAGGTTCTAATGCTTATCTACAAGGACTACTAGATTGGCCATTGGTGAAAGATCCTTGTAATGTCTCTTTTTTTTTCATTTTTACCTTAAAATGGGGGTGAGGGGGTGACACAAACCTAAACCGCAGCTAGGGCACTTTAGGGCACTATAGGGTACTATAGCGCTAAGAATGCAGGTTTGTATTCCTAATTCTATAGTGTTACTTTAATCTCAGTATGAAAAGGGTGCCAGCAACTTTAAAAACAGAAAACGTAATGTTATAGATGTGAGCCAATATGAACATAAGACAATGAAGACAAGTTGACATCTATTAATGAAATACCTTAAAAACAAATTGTTTTAACAAACTGTTAACAGAAAAATTCTTATATTCTACTCGTTAAAGGATTTTTTTGAGGATAGGCCAGTTTAAATGCATAGCTTTCCCCCTTTGTACTGCAGGTAAACAATTTGCAACTGTATGTCACACTCTCTACAAATAAGCAACATAAGTCACAGACATTTCCTTGAGGTCACTGGTTCAAATACACAAACCTGAAAGCTGTCACCCAGTCCATGAAAACCTCACACATTACCCAATTCACCAAGCAACTGTTTGTCCACCTGAAATACACTTCCACCATCAATGCTCTGCTCTGTGCACTAAAGGAAGAAAAGGCAGCTGGGTTTGAAATAGATCAGGAAGTGGTTTTAATTTCTCCCCAGGAACTATCTGCATGACAAGGACGACATTATTTCCTACTTGAGGAAGGCTGTGTTTGTCTTTAACCACAGGGAGCTGATGAGTTGGGAATGTGAAGATTGTCACTACTATTCTGTCTCAGCTGTAAAATACTCAACATTCTTAAGACAAAATTACTGTGGGTGATCCAAGGCTATGTAAACACAGGTTTGGTCACTTACATGGTTACAATAGAACAACATGCTGCTAGAACATTCTAACAGACATTCAATTAACGATGGACTCATTGAATTGCCGGAGAGCTTGGGCCAGTCTGTGTTATACATATGGCAGGCTGCACACATTCCACTACATCCATCGTTAAGAAGATATGCTATTGCAAGACATTCATTTTCCAAGAAAAATGTCTTCTTAAAATAAAAACTTATAATTGACAAATATTCGACTTAATGAATGTCTGTATGCGTATACAAATAAAACTACAAAATTACAAAGAATTTAGGTATTTTAAACTTGTGTGTAGAAAATAAAAGAATAAATATCATAGAAATCAAATATGAGCATTACAATGTCAAACAACACATTTATGTCTTTCTACCTCCCTTTCACAAGGGACTGCTGTGCTTTCCTCCATAACTTGGCCTGCCATCTTGCTCTTTCCTAGCTGTTTTCCATTAGGTGTACCATCATGGCATACATAGCACCAAACAACATGTCATGATGCACGTCTCGTATAAGCACCAAATAGTGATGCAACTTCAAAAGCCTCATAGAATCTAGTGATACATGAAACAGAATTCAAATCAACTTTTCTGATTATATTTTTTGGGGCCAAGTCATTTGTATTCTCCATTCTCTACTCTAAAGACTGCAGCTTTTGACTCCCCTACCAGTCCTGTCACCTCTGTGGCTTCCTAGGACTCTCTAAGTTGACCCTCTGCCTCAGTTTCTATATTACCAATTGCAGCCACATAGTTTACTTTTTTCCCTCCCATTACATGGCCCTTATTGCACACATTATTTCCTGATTGAATAATCTTACGATATATGGGACATTATTTAACTCTCATTAATGTCTTTTCTTCAGGTGTATACCTGTTGCATAACTTGTTTTTAACTTTGCACTTTGTTTTGCAATTTGCATTGACAATTCTTGCACACTGTTGTGCATGTCCAATTTCATTCTCTTGAATAAAGGTTGAATGATAGGATATTCTCACAGATCCACCCACATGTTCCACCGAGTCTGCTTATTACGTAAAAACCTGACATGGTTATTCACAAAAGTGAGAATTTAAGGAAATTCTAAGTGAATTTAAAATTTTTAAGCCTCAATTTATGTTGTTTGTTAAGCTTTCCAAATGATTTTATATTTTAGTATAAACTTTTAAAATGATTTAACGTTATGACAGCAGTTATTTTTTTTTTTTAAATTCTTTATTTTAGTAGTGCATATAGTATACATGTATGCTTGCATAGCCACGACAGCCGGTGCAGGCTAGACATAGACATAGAAAAAACAGTTGTATGGCTTATTAACGTTGCACATTTTTAGTTAATACTGAGTATAAAAACAGGCTAAGTCTGAAGCTGCTATGGTGGGTTATGTAGGTTGAGTTATGGTTCATTTCAACGTTGTTACACATAGCCCTACAGCATATGAAAAAGGTGTGCTTTGCTACCTGTTTGGTACATGGTTAAGCTAGTGTTGTTAGTTAAGGCTGAATCATTACAGTGGGTTAGTTGGTGTGTTCAAGTTTAGTAAAATGTATTGTGTTTTCAGGTGCCAGCGCAGCTCTTGGATTGCCACCAAAATAACCGCTGCAAAGGACAGCTAGTTGGCGTAGTTAAGGGGTAGAGAGATTACCACTAGGAGGGAGGGCCCCAGTATTGGTGTCCTCAGTGGGGTGTGCCCTCATCGCTAGCATGGAGAAGTGGCCTAAACAGTTAATTGTAAAACATAACATAAAAGTATAAGAGTAACACCAAATGTCAATGAAAAACAATAAAAACTTCAACATTTGCAAATAGAGACTACATGAGGCATGGAGTGATTGACTCATCTGTAATATTAAGAGTCCCGGTCAGCCAACCCCCGCAAGAGGTATGCCACAGTCCCACTCTGGTGCCTTTGTGAGTCTTGGTCTTGGTCGCAGCTTGTGCTCAGGGGGCGCCCCATGTTGTGGTCGTGGGACGTTGTTGGGCTGACCTGGTGTTGCCGCCATGTTGGGCCCTGTGTCTCGCCGTCTCCACTCCCGGTCTAGTGTCACTCCCTTCTGAGGTGAGATGAGTCCCATCTGGGAACCCTTCTGCTTGCCCGTGTGCCTCATACTCTGAGGTTCTCCGCACTTCCGTGCCCTGTCTGCCGTCGAGTAGCACAGACCATGAGCCGGTCTAGGCCCAGAGGGTCCTCTTCGTGTCTGTAGGTGTCGCTGCATTATGTGCCTCTTCCGACTGTGTGGAGCACGGTGTCGGTCTTTGCCGGATCGATGGTGGGGCGGGAAGGCAGGCTTACATTGGCGCCCTGCTTGGGTGAGTGAGGGCGTTTGGCGGCTGCGCGGATGCCGGTTCGCTTGATGGGAGTGGGTGAGTGATGCTCGCCTTGTAGAAGTGGGTGGTCGTGGTGAGGCAGGTTGGATTAGCTTACCCACCAGCTTCCTCCAGAATGCCTCGAAGTGGTTGTTTATTCGAGTGAGGACATCTTGTGAGGTGTCGCTGGGGTTGTAAGCACATGTTGTGTCCGCCATCTTAAGGAGGTCTCCGTTTACTGTCTTTGGCGTCGTTCCCCTTCTCATCATGCTCAGGGTCGCCACCCCAGGGTGGACCGGGATCACCCCCGCCGGTCCGAGGGGGGGGTAGCAGGGCTTGCTTGTGCGGTGGGCAGCTTCAGGGTGCCTCCAGGACAGGGGAGCGGCCGCCTCCCTCGCCCAATGCAGACCAGGCCGCAGTGTCGGTCGTGATTTCATCTGGCCCCAATCAAGTCGCCTAAGAGCCCATTGTGTGCCCTCCGTCGTGGGTGGCATGTGGGTGCCTAGAAATGCAGTTTGTGTCGCTTGGGTGAGCAGATTTTCGCTTGTTTTGTCAGGATTTTGTGGGAGCTCATGGAAAACACGACTCTCCGCCATGATGGTCAGGCCCCGCCCCGACAGCAGTTATTTTTAAGGAAGATTTAGGTAGGCATTTTTTTTTTACTGTCAAACCCTCTAATGGGGACATCTAGTTACCCTTTTTTCATTTCTCCTCGATACAAGGGATAAATAGCTATTTGTAGCATGTGCCTACATTTGTGGAGTGTTATATCAGTTTCAATAAAGGACTGGATCATTCTATATATCAGAGTTATAATGACACATCCCGTTTTATCTTCAGTAAAATGTGTTTGCTCATATAACCTCTAATTAATAATATTTCAAAAAACATACATTTTCACAAGAATAACATATTTACCTGTTATGAAATTTCACAGTCACACAAGGAAATAAAACGTATGAAGATTAACTAAAATAATGATTTTGGTTGATTGGTTTAATGGTGGAAAGTGCATTAAGAATATATATCGGAATGTTATAACATCCAGTTACATTAGGTCCAAGATTTTATCTAATCATTATTTATTATTCAAAAAGATAAGAGAACAGGCTGGCACCTTACTGAAATCCATTTATATTGGAATGTGAACTCTCTTAGTTTAAGCCCCATTCTGATTAAATCCTTGACTATTCTTCCATTCTAGTAATGTCTTTGCTTCTATCTTCTAATCTGTTTTTTTCTCTTTTTTATGCTAGTACATTATGCATTACTTATGTAGAGGAGCCTACATGCCATGTTCTATAGTTCTTCGGTATTAACATTATGAGATTGACCTTTCATCGCCTTCCAATGTCTGGTAATAGAAAGACGCCCCAAACCTCATTACAGCGCTCATGTATGCAGATTCCTTTTTGTGTCGCTTAATACTGTCAGTCAATCATGCAGGAGCATGGCGCAAAATAATAATACAAAACAACACATTCAACAACATGTGTTTTACACATAATAACATTGAAAATGAATGCTAAAAACTAGACAAAACTAAAATGTGCATCTCTACTATATCAGGTATTTGTTATAATAAACAATTTGATAGGCATTAATAGTTACTATAATTTTCAAGCTTATTGTGCAATGTAAAATGATTTAATTATTCTAATTATGTATGAGTGCATGAATGTATATAGTATATACTTATGAATTTATACAGTATTTATTAAGTATATATGATGATGCAATGAAATAAAATATCCATTTTCTCATATGCTATTACAATAATGTGCATAGCCTGTGCATCATTAGGTTTAACCAAATTTAATGACATTTATAGAATAACAAACTAAATTTCCGGCCTGCCCACCTAATTTTTTTCAGAATTTTTTTTTCAGATGCCTCATGGATAAAAGTGACAGATCTCCAATCCAGGGTACAATGAAGGCAATGATCACCAAAATATTTTTATAAAGCCATTATGGTTTGATAAAGACTCACTGGAGTAAAAATGTTGCCTGTCTGTATCCAATAAAGACTGTATTCGATTAACCAATAAATGCTGTATCTTTGCTTTCATAAATGTAATGATAAACTGCGTAAATGTACATTTATATAGATTCCAGTTGAGAACCTATACAAGTACTTATTAACGTACAGTAGGTTGCAATGCATGTTATGACTATAGCAGATGACCAAATCTGATTTTTTTTTTTCTTCTTAGAGCGATGCTTTTCGCGTGATGTCTGCATGAAAATATCTTCTGCAAATCTATCTGTTTTGTAGGGAGTCATCATTACAGATTATCTCAGCCAATCCAATGCTTCTCCATAGAGAAGCATTGGGAGCCTGCTGTGCATGTATAAGAATTGCCTTGCTGGACCAATCAGCATCTCTTCATAGAAATGCATCATCCGTATGAGGAGCATTCGGCATCTTATTTCAAAGAGTGAAGACACCGAACGTTGGTCCTTCAACTTCTCAGCATTTACCAAATTTGAAAGTGATGTACAGATATAGAACAAACTCATTTAAATGATGACATGTTACTTATTACTTGCTTTACCTTATGTCATTGTTTTAGATAAAATATTGTATGTGTGTGTCTTCTATTAACAATTTGTTAGCAATCTATTAACAATATTAGATTTGTGCAGAGCGAGAAAGTTTGGCTGAATCACTTCTCTTAAATTAAAATTGTGTTTGGGGTGTCCAACGCTCATTCATGTGATTGTTCGGTTCAGCATGGAAAAATATTCAGGGACCAATCAAACAAGCCAACAATGGGCACAAAAATTGCTACTTTTTTTTTTGTACTGCTCCTACATTAGTAAGTGTACTGGTCACTTCTCACTTGATCGATATTAAGTAAAATTAATAAATTCGTAATAAGTAATAAAATCGATATTTAGTGGCTGTCTTCTAGCCATAAATCATCTCTTTTTTTAGGTGCCACAGCGGAACTCTGAATAGCGAATAAAACGAACATGTTTGGCCATAGTTGTTTCCTCGGTAATAGATTTGTGCGGTGCTTCAGAAATACGGAATTCTGACGAATAACCAATTTGGTGAAATTTGACTTCACAAATCGAATTGATATTCTCTATTTAAGCAAAAAAACAGACGTTCTCCTAAACAATGCATAAATAGTATAAAATATTAAATAAAAACCTCTAAAGTTAAAAAAGGCATGCAAGTAAGAAAATACAATGCTTGGTCTTATTGTATATCAACAGCATTGATTTGTCAACAATATTGCTAAAAATAGGCTTAGTCAGTGAAGTCCTTTTTGCAATTTTAAGCATAGAGCTGATTCTAGGATATACTTCCTACATGGCTGAATCGGTGGTTAGGTTTAGGAGTAGCCTTATAAGGCTAGTCTCACAGTAATTCATATTATTTTGGTATTTGATTTATTCTGATGGAGATCCTCTCCAGTCCGATTTATATATGAGTCTTTGGGACGTTCCACACAACTTAGGATACTTTTAATAATTCCCAGTTGCACCTATCCTTGTAACAAGGAAAAGTGCCTATTTTTTCAAATCGTGACCATCACTGCCTGATTGTATTTTTATTCTGCCCTCTTAAAGGACCACTATAGTGCCAGGAAAAAATACTTGTTTTCCTGGCACTATATTGCCCTCAAGGGGTGGCCCCACCCTCAGGGTCCCACTCCCGCCAGGCTGGATGGAGAGGAATGGGTTAAACAACTTACCTTTATCCAGCGCCGGGCTCTCTCGGTGCTGGAGACTCTCCTCCTCCTTTCCCGTCATCGGCTGACTCTCAATGCTTTCCTATGGACGCTGGCGTCTTCTTACTGTGAAAATCAAAGTTAGAAACGTGGAAGCGCCTCTAGCGGCTGTCAATGAGGCAGCCACTAGAGGCTGGATTAACCCATTTGTAAACATAGCAGTTTCTCTGAAACTGCTATGTTTACAGCAGAAAGGGTTAATCCTAGATGGACATGGCACCCAGACCACTTCATTGAGCTGAAGTGGTCTGGGTGCCTATAGTGGTCCTTTAATGGTCACTCTTTCCCACCATCTGCGATACCCTGTGTCCCAACTCTTCAGTTTCTCCCAATGTATTAATTCATTGTAAGTGCCTTAACATCATATCATGTTAGCTGCTAGATCTCTCTAATTACTTACCACCTCCATCCATATTATCATAAACATCACTTCAAATCTCCTCATCTGTCTTAATCTTACCCCCCAAAAAGTAATTTGTTTCTATCATACAATCACATCATTTTCCAAAGTACCGCTATATATCAATGTTATCATCAAAGGGTTTGTTCACTAAACAGTAAGTTGTGGTAAAATGACAACTGTCTTGTAAAAGAATCATGTTATATTATTTTTTTATAGAATGTTTTCAAAGCAGACATTGTCATGGATGCACGAATAGTACAATGTTAACTATGCGTCTCCAATGTAAACATAATGTTTAAATTCAAGAATATCGGTGAGCAAAACATACGGGCAAAATAAATCTTAGATCTCATATATTATTTACTTTTTTATAGAACTATGAATTACAGCATTCAAAAATGCTGCCTATATATTTGCTTGGATGTCCTAAATGAGCAAATATACCAGCAGGACAAATGGTTTGCATAAGGAAAACAATGCATTGCAAAGGCAGACACACAAACAGCATAATGCAAATGCACTGACAAATCGTCCTGAATGTTTGCTGTATTTAACTTACGTGCATGTCACTTCTTTTATTGATGAAATCCTTTAAGCGCAAGAAATTTTTTGCTCGTGGTGATTGTTTAAGCGCATACCCATGGACACTTTTCCCATGAGAATGGCACATAGAGCTTTAAAATAGCTGCTTTTAATTTATTCAACGTTCCATGTACACAGTGTCTGTCCAGTAGCCTTTCACATTCATTCGCAGGTAAACATACAATGACAGGGCACAAACCTATAACCAGCTAGAGTTGTCACAGCTGGTCTGCAAAATAAGGAGTCTACACTACTATCCTGCTTAGGAATGTTTGCTGTCACCACAGGCTGGGTAGCAAATATTTTCCATGTCGTTTTCAGTTAAAGGTCTCATAGCATGTTGCACATAGATCGATCAGAGTATTTGTATTATAGCACAAACCTTCAATACCTTAAGATTTGTGTGCGCTGCTAGAGTGGGGATGAAAGAATGGATTTGCAGTCCATTTACAAAAGCTGAATCTTGTCAGCGTGGATAGCAGTAAGCA